CCAACTTTTCCAGTTAAAATATAGAWTWWAGATGACTCCCATGCATAAGWYTAYACCCGCWTATAAGACRAMCCCWGACTKTTSAGWAGWTKTWCWTGSKWTARTCWMWRTAGTCWTACATMCSCYRKARTRTAYWGTACTTATARWWYACCTCATAGAWATAGTAATKTGTTACCTCAGAGTTATAYYATCATAATCAATYYWYACCTTTGTDCWTTGTTGYAATTCAYCTTGWTTRTTTAGTAAACTCAATTTGGTTAAAYTTAATCTTGTTTATAGAGTTTTATTTTGGGGGAATTATAGTAATTAGGGCATATCGATGGTCACTGGGAAAATAGCCAGACACATTTAGGTTTCTCATTAGATCTTCCTGGTGTGCCATCACAGTAGGTAAGATATTACACCAGAAAGAGCTACCAAATTGTCTATCCCTTGCCTTAAATTGTGTATGATTTTTTTTCATGTCATAGATATGTGGCTACCTCTGTCAAACTTATCCATCTCCTTTAAATAAAAATATATTATTGAAGTAGCAAGGGAGGATCATTCACAAATTGGTTAATCCCTGTATGCCGACCAAGGTTACCTTCTTTTTCAGTTTATACAATTCCCTTGAAAACACACTTGTTTCAACTAGAGTAGACCCATTTACATATATTGACCTCCCAGGTTCCTATTGATTCAGTGTTATTGTAGCTGGGACATGGTAGAGGGTGGGGAGCCTTCTCGCATTATTGACCTACCTGGGCAGATGTGAGGAGGAAGGCACCAGCTGCAGATTGGAGGAGGCAATCTGTGAACTGAGAGGCCCTGTGCTTTTTTGTCCAATTGCAGTGTTAGATGAAGGGGTTTTGGTAGACAGGTGGCAATCTGAGGATGAACAGGAGGGGTGGAACAAGACATTTAAAAGAGAAGAAAGGCAGACAATGGTGAAGGATTTGGAGCTGAAGGGAGCAATAAATGATTACCAGAAGGACTCTTGTGAGGTGCAGCTAAAGGCTGGAAGAAGAGACAATGACCATAAGACAGAGATGACCTGAACATAGTTGCCTTTGAGGTTTTTCTGCCAGGACAAACCCATTGGAAAAGAGGTCTTGGACTTATTCTGGAAATGAGGAAAAAGTGTGTTGCCAAATTCACCATTCACATATTTTTGCTGTCATAAAAAATATATATTTAGCACGTTGCTTGGACTTTATTCTGGAAATCAGGGGAAGGTGTGTAGCTCAATTCACTATTTACATATTTTTACTCCCAACCTGGTGTACTCATGATAGAAGCAAACTTGTGCTGGGCACTCCCACAAGGAGAAGGTGTAAGACCCATAATTGTGATATAAATCTACTTACCAGCATCTCAGAAGCTTGGAGATATGTTGCAATCCCTTCATTATGTATAAAATATGTTGCTAGTAGTTTAACCTGATATTTACTAAGAATTAGATGCCCATCTATAAATTCTACCAAGATATGCCAGGCAAGATTATATGCCATCGTCTTGATTTATAGTTGTTTGTTCAGTTGTAACATCAGATGAATTCTGGGAGGTGGAGAGAGTTATGTGGATAGTTTTGAAAAAGCAGTTTTCTGTGCATTTCTTGTTGGTATTATGTGCCTTCAATTTGATTAATTTATGGGGACTCTATCCTAGGATTTTGTTGGCAGGATTGATTCTGAGGACTTTTGCCATTTCCTTTCTCTTAGGCTTAGAGAGCAGGCCTTGGCCAACGACACCCAATAGGTTTCCATTGCTAAGTGGCATTTTGAGCCTCACTGTAACATTGTCCTAGTCCAGCACTCAAAACCATATGAGACAGTAACTACAAGATCACTTTTAAGTTCATTGTATGAGCACTGAGCATTTATATTCATCTTAAGCCTCTTAAAAACAGTACCTTCTTTCTATCTTTTTGCTTGATTTATAGTGGATAAATAGATTGCTTTCTTAGTAGTGTGTTTTTCAATATGGCCTACAATTATGGGATTTAATTAATTGATTTTTTTAAATAACTTTCTCTGTTCTTTGTCCAGGCTGCAGAGCAAGCAAAAGCAAGTCCAGCTCTTGTAGCCAAAGATCCTGGAATAGTAGCAAACAAAAAAGAGGAGGAGGATCTAGCTAAAGGTCAGTTATTGTCCAGTGAGAATCCTGAAATGGTGATTTGTTGTTGGGGCTCCTTGAATGTTATAATAGAAATCAATGATTCTACGGTTGGAATAAATTAGGCATCTGCATCACTTTATTTCATTTTCATTTTTGTTCCATATTTTCTGAGAACTTGATGTTGCAGTGCTCTTTTAATAATGCTTCCTTTTGAATAATTATATGTGTTCCCCAAAGATATTATATGAAAAAGAACTAGTACTCCAATCCAACTATAGGTGTGTCACAGATGCTACATTTTTGGAATATTTTAACTTCCCACTTTCTGTACTTCAGAGAGCAATGCTAGATAGACTCTTATCTTTTCTGCAAGGTTGCATAGTTTCAGGCAGAGACAATGTAAAACTGTTATCACCTGGGAAAGTTTGAAAATGAATTTTGCCCAAGCTTTTTAATAGTTGCCAGATGTTTTTTCTTTAAAAAAATATTGATTATATCAATAAAAGGATTTCACACCATTTATGCTCTTAAGACTTTCTTGATAGCTACTTGAGGTTTTGCACAAATAATGTGCAAGTCCTGGATTGTGATCATAACATGTACATTATCTAATATACTGCATAATAGATGGCATTGTACAAAAAATAGAAGGTATTATCTAACCTAATTTTTAAAATATAAAAATACCTTGAAGATATTAGGAGCACTACTCTACACATTTTGTCCTGGCAATCAGAACACTTGAAAATGTTTATACTTTAGCTGAGCAAAATTCCAGTTGTTCTCACTACAATTAGGGTGATTAGTGTTTATCTGACTCAGAAATAACTCCACAAAGACTTTTAAGCATAATGAAAAAAAATGCAAGAATATAAGTTTTATATTGTATGTTGAAGTGACTTAAATGCAGATAAGGATGCCTTTTATCATACCTTTTTCAATTTATTGATCCTTATCATGCCCCCACAGCCATTGAATTATCATTGAAAGAACAAAGACATCAACAAACACCTCTTTCCGGTCTTTATCCAAGCACTTCAACTCTCTCAACAAATCACAAACACGAGGGTCGAAAAGTTCGAGCTATTTATGATTTTGAAGCTGCTGAAGATAATGAATTGACATTTAAAGCTGGAGAGCTTATTACTGTACTTGATGACAGGTAACTCCAATGGAATACAAAAGTATCACGTATAAAGTGAGGACATTTTTAATTGAATACAATAAATACAGTTTATATACGTCTAAGTTCCATTTATTGTAATTTTTTTCCATGCTGTCAGCTGAACAAGATTGCAGCATATTTTTTTATATTGGTGTATAAAAGAGTATAAATCCACTCTTGGGATTGAGCCTCTGTTCTTCCCAGAGGAGAGTTTTAACAACAGGTCATGACCACATTTTAATTCCTATATTTCAAAGCAGGCATCCTCAAACTTCGGCCCTTCAGCCGTTTGAGCCTTCAACTCCCAGAATTCCTGACAATTGAACAAGCTTGTTAGGGCTTCTGGGAGTTGGAGGCCCAAACAGCTGGAGGGCCGCAGTTTGAGGATGCCTATTTTAAAGAAGAGTAGTCTTTTAGAATAATCCTCACACCAGCCCAGAAGTAGGAATAAGGCGACCTTTTGAATATTTTCCCATTGACTACTACTTTGATCCTTAATTACTTTCTATTTTACCTGACATCTACTGGAAATGTTATCTGAATACAAGAGTAGTCAAATATGAGGGGGAATAGGAATATTGCCCACTTCAGTGGGAACAGATCAAAGTTTCATTTGAGACCTTTTAACCAAGAATAGGTTCTGCCTTGCTACATGAGGAGGAAGGTAGCAATACCGACTCTGTATCTAAAGCAGAATAACTCCTGTTATTCAGTGGAAATGGCAACAGATGGTGATTAACAAGTAGTCACTCAGGGTTAGAACATTCAATTTGCACACATTAGAAAGAACAGCTTTGTATCATCTTCAGTTTCAAAAAGCGAGCCAAAAGAGAAGGATTATTGTAGCGTATAGACCATCTGCTGACTTCTGCCAATGCATCAGAAATTTCCAGGGATCCATTCCCAGATATATGTTTGTATCTGAGTGAGAGAGAGATAGGTCAAAACACAGTGGAGGTAATCACCCTATTAGATGTAAATCAAGCAGATGGGGCAGGTGCTTATTGTATGTGAGGAATGGCAAGTAAGGATAGTTATGGACAACACTAAAATAGAAACTCCTGTGAGCAAACAAGAAGGGCTGAAGTACTTTTGAGTGTGAAAAGAGATATAAAAATGATGAGGTGTGTGGAAAAATCAGTTTGCCTTATCTCGGCCAGTTGCTTAAAATATACTTTTATAGATCCCAACTATCTGAATAGTACTCCTGGGAGAGTACGCTGCTCATTAGCATGTTTGTGTCACATGACAGATGTTTTCAATGAGTGAGAGGTGAATATGGAGAGACACAAATCTTCACTGTTTCCATGGCCAAAAGTTTGCCTTATTTCCACTGTTTCCTATGGTACCCAGAGGCTTTGGGGGATGGTGATGTGGGCATGTTAATAGTGCAATACTGACCTCATTGTAAAATTAGTTTGTTTCATCTATGTTATTCATAAAAATAAACATCAATTCTAAAGCTGTTTTCAGATTCTAAGCAGAGATATGCATTTCTTTCTTTTATTTTCTTTTACTCTTTAGTGATCCAAACTGGTGGAAAGGTGAAACTCATCAAGGGACAGGATTATTTCCTTCTAATTTTGTAACTGCTGATCTTACTGCTGAACCAGAAATGAGTGAGTAATGTAATGTTCACATACAAAAGTGCAGTCCAATTGAGAGAGCCAAGCAAAATACCTTTTTGTTCCTTCTTCTGATAAATTGCACATGTTATTGTTAAACCCTTTGTTCAGTGTCGTCCATATTTGAGAGGTTCCCTTTTTACTATTAACCTAAAGTAAAATGGGCATCTACAATGAGTTTGTTACTTCTAGGAGGCTCTCCAGTATTAAGTATTCATTGGTTGTATTATCTTCAAGAATACGAAACAATCAGACTGTGTAACTAGTTGGCTTATGTTGAAGTAGGAGGTGCAGCCTGCCAGACCAGCTGATTACTCCAAACCCCTCCAGATTTTTTACGTTTCATACCAACTTGGGGGGTGGGTATTTTGTACCCCCCAAACAGCCAAACATTGACCAAAAATTGAAGTGCTGTGATGTGACATCACTTCCGATGTGCTCAAAAACAGAGGAACAACTCACAGAGGGGGAAACACTTGTCCACTCTAGGCTTATAGGCAATGCATTCAAGGGTGAGTCCTGGATACCTAGTCCCCTTAGCTCTCTCCCTGATATCGTGACCTATCTTGCATAATAGATCTATTGATGTCAGTAGTGATTTCAGGAGGGATTGCTTGTGGGGAAGACTGGAAGGAAGGACAGATAAAAATATTTCACCAACCCAGTAGCATGTGTGTAGATATCAATTTGTTATTTATTAAACCTTTGTTTTTTTTAAAATTTGCATTTTACAGTGAAAACTGAGAAGAAAACAGTGCAGTTTAGTGATGAAGTTCAAGTTGAAACGATTGAGCCAGAACCTGAACCAGTATATATTGATGAAGTATGTATAAAAATGCAGGCATTTGCAAGGTGTAAAAGATACCATTTAGAAAAACTTCAGAAAAACTTTAGAAGAATTGTTGCAGATTTGCTTGAGAGAAAAAAAAGATTGGCTAGTTCTGATGTTTCGAGTTAAGCATCCCACCGCCTCCCCATTTTATCAGTATTTATGGGGTGTTTCCCTATACTGTATTAATTTTACCATGCAATCTGCCTATAGTGTTGCAAGAAATATAAGATATCAATTAAAAATGATGATGATGATGATGATGATGATGATGATGGCAACGACGATGAAATAAACTTTAGCACAGATCACCAAATACTACATGGTGTGCAACTGACCCAGTTTTAAACAGGTTTTGCAAGATGGTTTAATGGCCAACTTCTGCAAGTCTGGTTTCTCCTCAGATCATAGAAATCTTTCATCTACAGTATAAGTAGCGTATTTTTCATCTAGAGCATATTGCTAATTTATTTATATTCTTGGGGGGTGGGTTGTGAAGAATATGCGGGTTATATGCTGTTTATGCCAATTGAAATAGCAGTTTATACCATAACTTTGTTACAGTTGAGTATTTTTTTTCTATCACTTTTCTAAATGTTTGCCATTGTACCACTAGGTGGTAGTGCAGGAATACATTATTGACTATGTTGACTTTAGAGAGTCTTGTGAAAGTTATAATATGTTAAAAAGACATTTTAAAACAGTTCTGTTTTTGAAGGATACAGTCACTGGGAACTTTGGCATATATATCAAAATATCTGTTTACTTATCCATATATATGATACTATATGGGCAAGTCACTGCAATATGGGTATTATCTAAATTAACTTTGAAATTTTGAAAGTGTTTTGAGTAGTGTAGACATTATAGTATACCCAATTATAACAGATGTATAACTGGTGAAAAATATTTGATGGTAACATTGATAACAAATTAATTTTGTGCGTATAGTATAAGATATTTTATATCAGAAATGTTGTAGTAATTCTAGCATTTCCAGGGTTCTGAGGAATAGTTCCTCATCACACTTAAGAAGCCAAACGTCGTTTGGAATTATGTGCAGTTTTTGATATGTCGGGGGAGTTTTCTGTTCAGATTTAAAATGGCAAAAATTATTTCCCCTAAGACATTGGGAATGCTAATAGTAGTTCATTGAAACATACATGAGATACATGGTTTTCAGTAAAGAGTATTTGCTTCATATTCTAGGATAAAATGGACCAACTATTGCAGATGTTGCAAAGTGCAGATCCAAGTGATGATCAGCCAGATCTCCCAGAGTTGGTCCATCTTGAAGGTAAGGGTCCCAACCCAGTTCTCTTCAAGCTGTGATAATGATGTACTAATAGCAGCTAAGGTAGCCAATTCCACATCTTTGAGATATTACTCTTTTCAACAGTACATTCCCCAGACCTCTAGAGACCCCTCCTCAAAGTTTTAAAGCCCCCAGAGTGCAAGGCACAATTAAATCAGAAGTGATTCACTTAAGTTGAAACTACAATATAGCAGCTATTTTCATTTGGGAAAGGATTTTGTGTGTACTGATGAAATAATACAAATAATGTAGTTATCTGTTCGTAATGAATTAAATTACATTTCAAAATTATTTGTTTTAATAAATTTTAAAAACAAAAGGTGTGGTCCTTCAGCACTTTCAAAACTTAGAATCTGGACACCACAACTCAAAGAGTTGCCCACCTCTGCTTTACAATTTTTTTTATAGCCGCCCATAACAAACTAAACTTTTTTACAATCTTAAACATTTTTTTATTTTTCTGTGTTCAGTTGTCATCCACTGTACCTATTTTTTATTTTACTTTGTTTTATTATATTTTATTAGTTCAAAACTATCATAACCTTCACAAAGTCATATTCAAAGATGATGTATGTGTAATAAAATTATTCAAAGACTAATAAAATGAAAAATACATAACATAAAGGTAATTGTGATGGAACTGTATAGATACTAGCTCATTTGTAAGGCTGTCTCACCCACAGCTCGAGGGTAGCCATTTTCCTGTTAGCTTTATGAGAGTGAAGCTTAAGAAAACCCTTCCTGGTTTGCGTCAGTAAGTTTGCCCGCTCCTTTGCCTGGGGAAAGGGAGCCATTTTAGATTACTTATTACCACCAGGGAATCTTGGAAGTAAAACATGTCTATAGTTGGTCACACTGAGATCCAGGCTTGGACAGGCAATTTCAAGCCAATAACCACTACTCTTCTGGGAATTCATTCACCTATACTGATTTATCGCTGTTCAGTGGCTGCCTGTGGAGTTTCCAGCTCCTCCACCAAGGTGCCAGGCCTCAATAGGAGAGACCTACTGTCTCAGCCTCCAGCCTGACCACCTTGGGCATTGGATCCCCCAGAGGCTCCTTTACCAGAGAACGTGAGAAAGGGAAACTTTCAGTTGTTCTTCGTCTACAGACTCATTCACTAGCTGTGACTTCAAGAACAACCAGTTACCTTCAGACTTTGAGTATGAACTTTGTTGTGGGAAAACCAAGATAGTGCCTGGCTGGAGATAGGCCCAAGACCAATTAGCATGGATGTTGATTTTTTGCAGTTCCTTGCCCAAACAGGAAGGCAAACCGGCATTCACCAAGTGTATACAATGTTAGCACTAAAGACATTTAAATCAGCTTGGGTGCGACAGCACAGTAATCACAGAACAAGTCATTAATAAATTTTCCAAATTTTATTTCTAGCGATGTGCCATCAAATGGGACCTCTCATTGATGAAAAACTGGAAGACATTGACAGGTAAGGCTAGTCGACAAATTTGAAATGAGGAATTGCTTTGTTTTAGCAATTAGTGTTAAGCAGTCTTAAATGAAAACAGGGTTTGGGGTGGAGGGTTAGGAAATGTGCTGTTTTATTTAAAGCAAATCGACTTCCTTTTAAAGGAAGCCTGAAATGATTGATTTAGTGGGCCACTCCTATCTAGTTGAGACTTCCAATAGGATTAGAACCAATGTCTTATTCCATGCACATTTTTCAAACAAATTCACACAAATTATTGGTTATTGACAGAGTATTTACTTAGCATTCACATCCATTTTTTGTGATTAAGTCTATAGATTTAGTACTTGTAGTTTGCTGCATTAAAAGACTGCCATTAACTCATTTCTGGCAGTTTTGTTTGGTCTTGGGGCATTTGTATACATTCAGCCCTCTGTATCCACAAATTTTGCTTCCATGGATTCTACAAACAAGGACTTGAAAATATCCTCACATCCAAAAATGAATTCCAAAAAGTATATCCAAATTTTGCTTTTTGACACAAATGTGTAATGCGACTTGAACATTCTCAGATTTTGGTACCTATGTACCAAAATCTGAGGATGAGAATTTCCTGGAACCAAATTCTAGTGAATACCTAGTGTTCATGGTGCAGTATTAACACAGTTATTTTATTCCCTCTTTTATATACCTCCATCAAGGACGAGCTCCAGACCTGGATTCCAGTCTGGGTCTTGTGTTAGGTCTTCAGATAGTAGAGAAAATAGATTGGAAAATGCCAGAGTAGCTGCTATCAGCAATCAGAAATGCTCCCTCATCTTAAAAAAAGCTATTCATGTTATGTGAAAACAGAGATTAAATGCTCACAATGTTCATTTTTAAATTATTTTGTAAAAAAATTAATTTATATTATAATTATTCATTTAGGAAACATTCAGAGCTTTCAGAACTCAATGTCAAAGTGATGGAGGCACTCTCATTATACACCAAACTGATGAATGAAGATCCAATGTATTCAATGTATTCAAAACTACAAAACCAACAGTACTACATGACTCAGTCGGGTGTTTCTGGCTCTCAGGTATGCAAACAGAGGTTTAAGGATCTGTGCCAGATATTATGGTATTCGATATCCAACAGTGCATTCTCCTAAACATTGAATGGGATAAATATCTGCCTTTTTTTTCAGGAGGCATATCAAGGTTATACTGGTTAAATAAAAGAGATTCATGGCAACAAAGGATCACTAATTTAATAAAGTATAATCTGTCAGCTTTTATGGAATATTGTTAATGTGTTTTCAGCTTCATTAAATTGAATTAGGATTCATAGGAAGCAATATGCATCCTGTGAGGAAATCTAGGATTCAGAGAGTTGTAAGAGTCTGTTATGCTCAGGAGTGAGGCTGAATCATCAGTTAGCATAGTTGATCTTCTCTGGAGTTTGTTTCGGCATTTAAGTTGCAAAGATTGCTAAAATGCTTTCAAATATTATTTTTGCGTTTTAAAAGGGTGAAGCGTAATGAATATAAGTGGAAAACAAAGTTGGGTATTCCTGTGTTTCTCTCCGACTTATATATGTGCATTTCCAGGTATATTCGGGGCAACCTCAGAGTAATGCCTATATGGTGGCAGCAGGTGCCCAGATGGGCCATGTACAAGGCTACAGTCTTCCACCAGAACAGCTTCCGTCTCTCAATCAAGGCACCATTCCTGCTGCAGCAAGCCCTGGGTTACCTAGCCAGCCTGTTCAGACCTCTTACACTAAGTAAGTGGGAAATGTAATCTAAACTGTTGCCTTAAGTATTTCATGACATCTGCAATATGCTAAAAGGGTTTCCCCCCTCTCCTGATTCCTTTATAGAGCATAATTTTAAAAAATGCGGACCCTCTGTTTGGTGGATGAATGACATTTACAGTGAGGTCCTGAAGCTCCTTACTCAGAAATGAATCCCACTTCTGTGGCACCCATGTCCCTGGTTAGGATTGCCTTTAAAACAAATTTCCTTTAAAAAAAAAACAAAAAAAAACCTTATATATAGGACTCAGAAAACTGCACATTTCTCAAAACAATTTCCCGTTTTTGGTTGTGTCCAGGGTGACTAATTTTTTCTCCACTCTTGCTTGATGCAGTGTTTTTACTTGATTTGCCATTACAATATGTGTCTGCTATTGAGCTATGTGAATTAGAGAGTATTGTCAGCAAGGATCTGTAGAGATTGTAGTAGAAGTCCACAAATGGCAGGTAATGAAGTGATGTTCTGAGAAACCCCATTGAGCTCCTCTCTAAAATTTGTGATAGGTAAGAAAAACAGAAGAAAATCTCAGAAGTTTGCAGGGACCAGTTAATTTTTTTGAGAGTTGGTTTGTTGCACCTAAGACGCAATTAAATTAAACCATTTTCTCCAGATGATCTGCTTAAGCAGTCTTAGTGCTCAGTTAAATTGCATCTTAGATGAAATTCCTTGACTCCAAATCCTTTGGGCCTCTGATTAGTTATAGTGAATCTTTGCTTTCATTAGAGATGGAAACAAACACACATTTGTTCTTTTATGCATGTTCACTGGGGGGAAAATGGTTGTTTTTGTCTACTTTTTCATTGATACTTATGGTTTCCCACCTTGCTTTGCTTCCAGTGCAATGGTTGGTTCTGTTCCAGGAAGTACCTATGCTAACCAAGGTCCTGTCTACAGCCCGCCGCCATCTGCTGCTGCTGACATTGCTGCTTACCCGAATTCTGGAACTATGTCCCAGGTGCCAAACTATAACTTAGTCGCCTCAACCTTGCCCCAACCGCCCGGCACACAACCACCTCAGCAACAGCCTCCTCCATCACAACAAAATGCTTACTCCCAGAAGACACTACTATAGGATATAGGACTTCTGATTCCTAATCTGCTCTAACCTCTGCTGAAGGCAGTTTACAATGTTATCAGTTTCCTCCTTAATATCTTAAACTTGGGTTATCTTCAGCTTAATAGGAATCTTTCTGGGTGAAAACAAGTATGACGATTCTATTTGCACTGACTTTTTAGGATTTTTTTTAAAGTTTGCAAAGGAGTTAAAATACCTAGGACATTTAATTCCTTTTAAAATGCCTAAACATTGGTACAAGGTTATTTATGTCTGCTGAAACTGGCTAGTTTGTGAAGAGTCAACTTGGCAAACTGTCGTGGCATATATATGTTATGTACATATAGTGTGTTTGTGTTAGTGGCTGTTTTTGAATTACAATGGTGATCATGTGAATATATAACAGTGTTAAAGTAATTTGCATTACTGTTTTATTAATCATGGATGGATGGGCAATGCTCATGGATTTTATAAGAATGTCTGTTCAAAGTGTAGGAGAAAATTCTAACCCGCATATCTCAGATACTTACAGGCTGTTGATATGTTCCTGAAACCGAACTGTCCACTTTTCATTAACTGTACATTGAATGCAAAAGTGTCTTGCCTTCCTGTAGCCTACGGTGCTACTAGATGACATTCTCTACCAAAGTAAGAGGTCTTGATCTTCCGGCACTCTGCGTTCAGAAAACATACTGCTTTAATGAATAATGGTTTCAGAATAATAACTTGCAAGCTGCTAAACATATGGGACCACAAAACACATCTGAATGGTTTTATCTTTATTGTTTAAATAATATAACCTACATTTCCATGCTGGTTTTATGTCACCTGAATGCTGAAGTATATTCTGTGTACATTGGTGGACATTGCACCAAAGACAGAGGGATGGATACGTTGGATATGAGTGAATGGCATTTTTAAACTGGAACAACAACATAAAAAACACTACATTTATTAAAGTCTTGTTAAGGACTATTATCATTGTCAGATCACTTGATTGTGTGTATTTTGTTGAAAAAATATCTTGTGGCCTTTTTATACTCTTTCATAGCCTCGGTATAACACAACATAGTGCTCTGCATGTACACACAGAAACTGTAAGCATGTTTTCAAATCAACAAATAGCTCTCATGTCCACTTTCTGTAGGGAAAAATGTCTCCTGAAGCCTTGAGAGTTTGAGGCAAAGAATAGCACTTTTGAATATCGGCCTAGGATATATTCTCTGGGTATTTCATTAGTGAGCTATAACTTTTTTAAAAGGATAATGTATCCTTTTTCTTTGTTTAATTGTGCATTTTTCTCATTTTTATTTATGACCGCGTTTTTCTTTAGCTTTTCCAGTAAGCTAATTATTGTAGAGTGTGCAGCATTTTAGTAGTTGTCTATGATTTTCAGGAGTACATAGCTTACCATGGATAAATGTAAGTCTTTTATTACTTTGTCCATTACCTAAAAATTCAGGAGCTTTAGTTCATGCTTGTATCAGAGAGCTTTACTGATTACAGTGTGTATGATATATATACTCATGTATAAGTTGAAGTCAGGTTTCGGGGCCAAATTTAGGGATTTTGATATGATTTGTGGATAAGATAAAGATCATTCTATGGAGAAGAAAAAACACTAATGCTGTCTCAGGAGGTCAGACACCCAGTAACTGCCACCATTTCCCCATCCAGATATTTAAAAAGGCTAGAAGTGGTACCATGGCAGAGTAGAGGGTCAATGATGATGATGATGATGATGATGATGATGATAAATGTTATGTGTTAATGGCCTCTCTTAACAACTCAAGGCTGTGTACAACAAAGTCAAAATACATTAACATAAAATGCATACATTGAAATGCATAGATCAAAACAGACCATTATTTTTAAAATAATATACCAAACACAGGGTACAAAAATCAACATACTGCAGCAATCAAATGCAGATTCAAAACTCTTGATTAAAAGTTGAGTGGGTAGGCCTGCCGGAAGAGGGTCATCGTTTGAGTCTTGAATTCCAATAGCTTGTTTAGCTGTTGGATTTCTTTAAGCAGGTAATTCCACAGTTGTGGGCCAGCCAATGAAAAGGTCTCTGGGTGACGATCACCAGTGGATTCTGGCTGACTGGAGTTAGCATCCTTCAGAGGACCTCAGGGGCAGATTGTGTGGGATAAGATGATGCTGTAGGTAACCTGTAGGTAAGCTGGACCCAAATTATGAAGAGCTTTAAAAGTCAAAACCAACACTTTGTACTTTGCTCAGAAACTAATTGGCAACTAGTGGAGTGCTGTATTATAGGTATAATATGCTTACTTCTTGATGTCCCTGTAGCAAGTTTGGCTGCCATGTTTTGAACTAGTTGTAGATTCCAAATTTAGCACAAAGATTGCCCAATGTGCAGAAGTCTAACCTTGAGATTACCAGCGCATGCACTACCATCTTTAGGTCCTCCAAATATAGGAAGGGGTGCACCTGGCATATCAGCCGAATCTAATAATTTGACATCCACCTGAGCTGAAATTTGGAGAGGTTTTCCTATGATGGACTAAGCTCTCGGTTTTCACCACTCTGTTCAAACAATTTGATAACTGTTAAGGTACAGTATGCACATTCACCCATAAGTCAACCCAAGTTTTGGAGGGTTGATACTTTGACTGAACTTTCTAAACTTATACATGAATATATAAGAAAATCAAAAGTCTTTGTAGGTATAGATGAGAATACCTAGTCAGTATAAGTTTCTATACTACTAGTAGAGAGGTCCCAACCGCAACACTTGTTGGTGTTACTCCTCTCTCTCCATAATCATCTCCTGATCTCCAAAGCAAGAGTAATTTCTGGGGATTTCTGAGAAGCAATTTTTATTTGCTCCTCAAAAATTTCTCTATTGTGATATCTATGCAGTAATCTCATTCATAAGAGAAACACCAAGAACAGTACCTTCATCTCTGAACCAGAGGTGGTTGCATCTTGTGATTGCTTACTACACAAAACTACTCTGAATTGTTGAAGTCTTTATGGTCATGTTCCAGGCAATGGCTGTGCTACTGGAACATGGACACACAGCCCAAAAAAATCACAGCAACCAACTACTCCTTGAGTTTCTGAGGCCACAGTCACTCTAACTTGAGACATAATTGAACTTTTGAATATATAATAAATTATCCTTCTGCTTTCCATACAGGTCATTCTGCCCATTACATTTGTACTTGTGATTCTATCTTATTGATTTGTGTATAATTACTATGCGATCTGTGCCTTCCATGTTACACACTGGATTTCCATGGAAGTAAGAATCCACTATTTTGCAGAACAGTCCTGTAAACTTTGTTTTCCTTAAGTTATTGGAGTAATGCATAATGAATGATTGGTTGCCCATTGATGAGAAACAAATCAGATCAGTGTTTTATGACTGTTCTTTGAATATTTATCACTTGACCCAAACTATATCACTACCCATTGCTTTATTTATTTAATTTAATAATTAATAATTTGCATCATTTCTTTATCCTTCAAGAGACTTGGGTTAGCTTACAACAAGTGAAACAAAATACGACACATAAAATAAAATAATTCTTTTCAAAGCACATAGTTAAAACAATTTAAAATGCATACTCTACATTCAGGTAATTCTGTTGTTGTATTTAGTGGGAAAATAGTTGCGATTTTATTTAGTTAAACAGACATTGCCTTTCAAGAAGGGTTAACATATAATAAAGAACCCCCAGTGGCACAGTAGGTTAAACTGCTGAGCTGCTGAACTTGTCGATTGAAGGTCACAGATTTGAATCTGGGTAGCAGGGTGAGCTTCTGCTGTTAGGCCCAGCATCTGCCAACTTAGGAGTTTGAAAACATGCAAATGTGAATAGATCAATAGGAACCACTCTGGCGGGAAGGTAACGGTGCTCCATGCAGTCATGGCGGCCACATGACCTGGGAGGTGTCTACAGACAATGCTGGCTCTTCGGCTTCGAAATGGAGATAAGCACAAGCCCCAGAGTCGGACATGACTGAATATCAGGGGAAAACCTTTACCTAACATATAACTTTTCCCTGGCTGAACTCTGGAATATTTCAAGGTTGTGCCTCAGTGCAGCACAACCTTACAGAGGTAACCCTTTAAATGTTATAACTAACCAAACTGCTTTCTTCTGTTTCTCATCACTCTATTTAAAAAGTACACTTGAACAAATGTCTTCAGCCTTAACTTCGTCTGGCTTTCATGTTTTTATATGGTTTTACTATTTTGACATAGCGCTTAAGTCATGATCTCAAGCTTCCATTTGGGATAATGATGTATAGATCATCTTGAAATATAGGTAGCATAGCTATTTCATTACGTTATTTGCTATACATCAGCAATTAATGATATTAATGTATTAATGATATTTCTAAAATAATTGCTATGTTTTCTAAGCTGTTTGCATGCAGGCATGCTTATTTTAGGAAAGTAAAAGTCAGCTGTAGGAGTCATAATTAATCAATGGTGTAGAAGAAGAATGCCCATGGTTACAATATAATTCACTCTATGAATTCCTAATCTTGAATCTCCAAATTCTATTGGACTATAGCTGCCATTATATTCATCCTAAGTGGTTAATAGTCAGGAATTCTGGAAATTGCAGTCCAATATAATCTCTAGACTCAGCCGCTAGTTTAATTTTCTTTTCTAAAGGTTAACATTCAATCCATATACCCCACCAATCCAGGCCACAGTCGTATCAGAAGTAGAAAAAATGTAATATAGTAGAAAGACTGACCGCAGAGTTGTCAGCTTTGAATGATTTCAGGAACTAAGTACATACCATGGATTAAAGGGACTACTTCCAATGCCATATTTTGCTCTAATTTGGGGAAATAGGGTGGAGGTTAGGAGACCCAAACTCCAACATTAGCTGTTAAGTGTGATAAAGTTTATTGCTTTCCCAAAGACAATTGAGAGATATATATTCTTGTCCTCAATTCTAGTTTAGAGTTGGAAAGTCTCTAACAACCGAAAAGAAAACAGCCCAAGGTAGACTGTGAGGAAACAAATCATTCCTGGCTCAACAGAGCACAAATGGGACATAAAGACAAAAGTGGCAAATTGATTTCTTTAGACAGTTTTGTCTTGATATGGTTTGTTTCCTTGTAACTTTTCCATATTTTATAGTTAACAGTTGCAAACTTGCTCTCAACCTAAATGTAAAAGCTTTGCAACTGTTAATTATGCTAGTCTTTTTATCTCCAGTAATTTGTTTTTGTGTTGTCTCATATTATTATTTTCTTTAATAAAGCATTTTGAATGAAGGCTGAAGAATACTCCGTTCAGGTTGAGTCTTCCTTATCTAGAAATCTGAAATACTCCAAAATATAGCCACATGGCAGAGATAATAACACCTTTACTTTCTAATGTTCATGCACAGAATTATTTTAAAAACATTGTGTATAAAATTGCCTTTAAGCTATGTGTATAATGTGTATACGAAATGTAAATAAAATCCATGTTTAGACTTGGGTTCTATTGCCAAGGTTATCTCATTGTGTATATGCAAAAATCCCAAACACTTCTGGTTCCAAGGATTTTGGATAAGGGATACTCAGCCTGTATAGTAAAAAAATGATGTGATGCATAATTTGTTAATTATTTGTTTGGAATAACTGATCTAAAGATATATTATGTATAGTACAGGTAATTTTCTTCTGACATAACACTTGCGTTGTATTTCTTGGTACTGTCTATGCTATAAAAATACAAACTTCGATTATTGGTTTTGTCTTGCTTCCATGTACCACGTGATAAAGCAAATTCAAGTGGATAACAGCTTTGGAATCTAACCTTCAATTGCTGGTTTGCCCATTTACCAATGTTACTGATACCTCTCATATGTCTTAGATACCCATGTCTAATGCTCAGGTTTTTTGGCTAAATTACCCTGCCAAACGTGTGCATTAGATTTGATTATGCCTTTCCAGTAATGCAATGGCCCCAGATTACGATTGTAGATGGC